ACCCGTTCGCTGGTTGGAACAGACTGCGGTGTTTCTTTAGGGTCGTTTGTAAATACGCAGCCGTCCCACGATTGTATCAGACCCTCACTCCAGCTCTGAACATCATTTATATCGGGAACTACGACCACCTCTGTTAAGAAGTAGAAAAGGGTGCAAACAAAAAAAGTTAGTACAAATGTGTGTTAATATTATAATGATAACAGTAATATTAATATTAACTATATTTTCTAAGACTAAAAATAAAATAAAAATCAGTCTGGTACTAATGTAACATTAAAAACAATACGTAGTGTCAAATTCTCTCTCTCTCTCTCTCTCTCTCTCTCTCTCTCTCTCTCTCTCTCTCTCTCTCTCTCTCTATATATATATATATATATATATATATATATATAAACAAACAATCAAACAAGACCATGCTAATATGGAATGGCGCAGCAGCCTAAAATCAGCATGTCTACATTTTTTTTTTTTACACACAGTTCTCCAATGGTGTCACCTAAAATTATAAATAATCATCTACTCTAAGAGATATGCAGGTTTTGTGTTTTATGTTTTTTTCCAACAATTAATGCTAATGTATGATAACAACAGTTCTAAACTAGCGTATTGGCACATTATACATCCACAAACACATTCGACCTCTCACTATCACATTCAAATAAACAATATTTATCTTTCTGATTTAGTGTGAACAGAAAACAATCCATCAGCTTTTGTTCATTACTTACTTTTAACAGCTGATCATCTTGGCTTTTTTGGGACAGATGTCTGTGGTACGTCTCTCGATGACCCATCAGCAGAAGCTTTTGCGTCCGCATGGGACACCACTGCAGCTTTACGTTTCAACTTATTTTTCGGTTTCGCCACTATGCCCTTCAAACTAGGCTTATCTGGATCATTCACACGTTCAGACACACCGACATTGCTCACAACGTTTGATAAACCATCTGTAAATACATGTGTTAAAGTTTTAAAACAAAATCAACAAACCATAGCAGCATAACATTGTTTGATAAAGCCAAATTACAATGCACTTACCCAGGGGAATAACTTCAACGTTAGCTGACTCGCTGCTTCGCTGTGGTCCGTGTACTAAGGCCTTGATAGTTACGCGTTTCGGCCCTGGTAAAAACAAAAAAAACCAGAGAAGATAAGATATTTTCACACAGCCACAACGCTGTTTAAACACGGGTGTAACAACATTTAACAATACCTGGCACAAGTGCTTCCGTGATCGCTCGTGAAGAGGCAACAGCGTTGTGCGTAGCACCAGTTGTGCTAGGTCTAGCCACGCCTCCTGGCGAAAACAAAACAAAAACATCATCCGTCACACACACGCACACAAACACACACACACACACACACACACACACACACAACGTATGCAACATTTAAACATAATTATACGTACCGCCGGCTTGATTTAGGAAATTAATCTCCTCAACAAGATCGAAGAGACTCAAACTATCACCATCTGAAGCGGGCAGATAAAACCTTAAGTAAGCAATAGAACAGCGACGCTCGTAAACAAAAATAATGTTTCTTAACAATGTTACTAAATAATAAAAAACACTCACTGTTAGAACAGGATTCCATCTTCTTGCACTCACGATTCCAACAACACAATATGGCTTGGAAAATAGTTTGAGAACGAGAATAAACAGCGGTGATGCTTGACACGAGACACACACACTAGTACGCTTCAGTGACTGTGCTCGCGTTCAACACACATTTATACACGCAGGTTTTGGCGAAGTGTGAAAACGGGCCTCCCCAGCAGACAGAATACACAACGACATAACATCTCGCGCAGGTAGACGGCCAATAAACCCGGAAGGCCAAGGGCCAGACACCTTTCTTTTACACCTCTGACCCAGGATGTCAACGCAGGAGGATGTCACATGGCGTCGCGCAGCCTAGACATACCGGAGCCTGTCAGCGACCCATCATAAATCAGAGACAGGGGAACCTCAGAACCATAAATCAAAGTCATAAATCACCTTTTTTGACACATGGTTTATGTTAATACTACTCATACTGGAACAGCTGATACTAGGGAGAGGTAAGCGGCTGCTTATATACTCTGTTTGTTGATTGAAAGATTGGATGGGCTCGCTCCTCCCTAACTTACGTTTAGGAACTTCATTTATTGTGAGTTTACACAAATATACGTAGTTGCGACTGATGCATTAATCTTTTATGTATGGCCAGAAATGATGGAGTATTTTAAGTTGTTTCCACTGTTTATAGGAAAATGTAATGTAAATGTAATGTAATCTGGACGTACTACATTAGCCATGATGTCATTATCATGTGATCTACGAGTGTCAGTGGCGTCGCTTCACTGTCATTCATAAATCCTCTCCTGTGGCCTCATGGGATAGTAAAGTGTCCATCATAAACAAACTTCAGAATCTCACTGGGAGTAGTCGATCATCCGGGGACTTTTTACCTGTTCTTTTATGAGTGAATTCAGACACACTTCTTTTGTCACGTACTGTATTTCACCTCATATACAGTAGTGAAGTGTGTGATGTCAGATGCAGACACGGTCTTAAAGGAACACTCCGACTTTTTGGGACTTTAGCCTATGCACCTTATCCCCCAGAGTTAGATAAATCCATGCATACCTTTTTCATCTCCGTGCGTGCTATAAGTCTGTTTGACGCACCCACCGCTAGCCTAGCTTAGCACAAAGACTGGATGTAAATGGTTGCAGCTAGCATACTAATCCAAATAAGTGACAAAATAACACAAACATTTTCCTATTTACATGTTGTGATTTGTATAGTCACAGAGTGTACAAAAAACAAAGTCACATGAGACACAGACATATTTTAACCGTATAAATACTGGGAACTGTATTCTCTGAAGGCGAAGCACTGCTACTTGGGCGGAGTGATAACCGCAGCACCTGAGACGCGCTCTCTGCTCCTCACCACGGGGCGTCTCAGGTGCTGCGGTAATCACTCCGCCCAAGTAGCAGTGCTTCGCCTTCAGAGAATATAGTTCCCAGGATTTATACGCTTAAAATATGTCTGTGTCTCATGTGACTTTGTTTTTTGTACACTCTGTGACTATACAAATCACAACATGTAAATAGGAAAATGTTTGTGTTATTTTGTCACTTATTTGGATTAGTATGCTAGCTGCAACCATTTACATCCAGTCTTTGTGCTAAGCTAGGCTAGCGGTGGGTGCGTCAAACAGACTTATAGCACGCACGGAGATGAAAAAGTTATGTATGGATTTATCTAACTCTGGGGGATAAGGTGAATAGGCTAAAGTCCCAAAAAGTCGGAGTGTTCCTTTAAAGGAAAGTGAACAGAACTCAGTTTTGTAAAAGACATGTGTTCCTCTAGTGGAGAAGTGTGGAAGTGCAATTAAAGAGATTGACTTTCCTAGAGTAAATAATATAATATAAAATAATAATATAATATAATATAATATAATATAATATAGTGATAATATAGTGGAAAGTTTTGCAGGGACAAGCACCACTCACATTTTCTCCACATTTTCTATTATTTACTGTAAACATCATAATAAATGAATAAAGTGTGTGAAAGGTTTGATATTGTGTAGTTTGTGATCCTCCATCAGCAGCTGCAGTTTCTCTCAGCTGTATCAGTGCAGTCACTGTGACGTCTGACTGACAGAGGTTTTTGTACGACTCTTTATCACTGTGTGAACACATCACCACTGCTGTGATAACTCTGACAGTAATAATCTCCTGTATCTTCAGTCTGGACTCCACTGATGGTCAGAGTAAAATCAGTTCTGGATCCACTGCCACTGAATCTAGATGGAGTTCCAGTATTACTATATGTTGCACAATATATGAGGAGTTTAGGAGCTTCTCCAGGTTTCTGTGAGTACCAAGCCATACAAGTATATGAACCTGGACAGTTGTTGCCCACTACTGTGTTTGTTTTGCAGTTTATCGAGACTGATTCACCAATTGTAACTGTTTTTACAGAAGGAGTCTGAGTCACAGTCACCTGTCCACTGAAACCTGTGAGAAATACTGAGAGTTAGAAAAGCAGCATGGCTGTGTAACATTCACTGTTGATAATATTATAATATTTCAATTTAACATTTTCTTGAAACATTTACCTTCAATGCACAGACAGAGAGTCCAGATGAAGATGATGATGTTGTTCATAGTTGTAGTTTAGTCTTGTGTGATGATGAAGAGTGTGTTGTGTTCTGCTCTCAGTCATGAAGTGTTAAACTCACAGCACTATAAACACTCTCAGAGCACTGAAGCATGTGCTGACAATGCAAAGAAGTGGGCAGGATTTACAACAGCTTGTGCTGAGAACAAACTCATATACACTAGAGTTACACAATCATGACTTTATTTAGTATGTTTATTGTGACTCCTGAGACACTGAGGATGTGGAGATGAACGTCCATCTCTGTGTCCATATTCAGTCATGTGACCATCATCACTGCTACACTTCCACTAGATGAAGCGCCATCACTAAAGTAAGATCATGAATCATGAGTGTGTTCAGAAAGTATCAGGACTGATTGTGAATCTCTAATCAGAGTTCATGGTGTCACTCCATCTATCATGAAGCCTCATGTGTGTCTGAAATCATCAGATGGAGAAGAAACAGGCTGTTAAAGATGGACACATATTAGAGCTTGTTCACGTTTCATGATCTTGTGTGGAGATTCAGAACCAGTCCAGATACTTTTATAACACACCTTGAATATGAAAACATGCTTGACTGTGTAGAACATGCAAAACACCTTTTATATCTTCATTGTCACACTTTCTATTGACTTTGGCTCTAATATTCAATAAAGTCATTATTTGAACAGATTCTCACTGAAGATTGAAGTGTGAAGCTGCAGGTTTTTCTGTGAATCATGATGATTGATCTGCATATGAAGAACAGAAGCATCATTATGAGAAACTCCACAACATCATCCATGATCAAAGAGGTCAAAGGTCACCTCAGAGGTCACAGCTCATCATATATATTTCTTTAAACAGTGTTATATCAGAAAGCATTTAGTCAAATCTGAATGAGTGAGTGTTGAGAAGAGCTGAGGATCTTCTAATATCAGTGTGTTGAAGTGTTGTTTCTCTCTCTCTGCTGGAGTGTGTGTTCACTCGAGTGGAATAGAGGTTTTAGTACGAGCGTTTCATTAGATTGTATCACTGTGGTACACATTCGGTGGAGGAACTAAACTGGTGATCGGTAAGTCTGTCGATTTAATCACCTAATAAAAAATACAATTTAGATTTCAGAAAGTGTTTTAAAATTGAAAGAAGAACAACATTTATTAATAATAATGATTATTAGATATTGTGGCGACACTTTACTTAAAGCTTTTATGTGTAATGCATTATAAAGGTATCAATAATGTAGATTATAATGCCTTATATCCTGTCATAAATATTTCTAACCAAAGTTAAAATGCATTAAAATATTTGCAAATTCCTTGTTACATCTTAAGTGGTTGTTTATCATGTTTTAGTGTATTATAATTTTTGGAAGGTGTAACAGTGAATAGATAATATTATAATGTGTTAAACTGCAGTTACAATTATTCATGTGATCATACATGCTTTATAATGTGTATGTGTAATGTGCGTAATGCATTAAAAAGACTTTTAGAATGGAAATATATAAAGGCTTTAAGTAAAGTTGTACTAATATTGTGGATAATACTAAAATATAAATATAATAAAATGATATTTTCATGTTTATTCATTCAAAAGAACAGCATTATTCCTTTCAACAACAACACAACATTAAATTCTAAACTTATTTCCATAATGTGTCTCACTATGAGTTTATTCAGTTTATTACAGGTTTGTTTTTACTTCATTTATTTCTACACTGAGTTCATATTTAGTTCATCTTTTATTGTAGAAATCATACATGTAAAAAGAGATTTGACATCAGAATGTAAATGTTGCTACTTTCTGTAGTTCAGTCAATGATACTGAATCTCTTTTGCTCATGTTGTGCTTATAATTCAGTTATTTATAATATAAGCAAGATTTATGTGTGATTCAATTGTGTTTTAATTCTGTTTGAAAATGACTTGTGTTTTGACTGAATATCTCACTTAAGTAAAAAATCACTTTATTTTGGGATATAAAAACTGTTCAAATTAAAGTATTCAGTGTATTACAATGCTATATATTATAATGAGGATTGATTTAAATGCATATAGTGATTGTGTAGTTTGTATATTTTATATATATATTGACTGTAGTGAAGCTGAATGGCATGAAGGATCAGATGCTGGAGATTTGTCCTGCATTCCTCATGTCTGCTGCTTCAGTCCTGTTAAAATGCTGTGAATGTGCAGTGCAGTGTGTTGTGTGTGTGTTTGTGAATGTGTTGTGTTTGTCTCCTGCAGCTGGTCCCACAGTGAAGCCCTCAGTGTCTCTGCTGCCGCCCTCTTCTCTGCAGATCTCTGGAGACTCAGCCGCACTGCTCTGCCTGCTCAGCTCTTACTCTCCACAGGGGGCGCTGGTGAGCTGGACACTGGACGGGTCAGAGGTCACCGAGGGGGTTCTGACCAGCGCAGAGAGCCAGCAGGACGGCCGCTACAGCCGCAGTAGCGTCCTGACCCTCAGCAAAGCACGCTGGGAAGAGGGAGAGCTGTACGTCTGCAGAGTAACACATGATGGAGCTCCTCATGAGGTCTCGTTCCACAAGAGCTCTGAGTGCTGATGTTTCTCTCCTGAAGATGAGCCGTATCTGAGTGTCCTGTGTCAGGCAGGATTCACATGAGTCTAGTGCTGCAGCTGTAGTGCTTTACAACTCCATACTGAGTGTGTGTGTGTGTGTGTGTGTGTGTGTGTGTGTGTGTGTGTGTGTGTGTGTGCGTGTGTGTGTGTGTGTGTGTGATCTTTCAATCTGCTGTGTTTGCTGCAACATTCAATAAAGCTTCTCAACAAGTTCACTTTGTGTCTGACAACATCATTCAACTAACAGATGAAGATGCAGGAGCTTTTCAGAAGGTTGATGTCGCAGTAAATGTCAAATAAAGCTCTTGGGGTTTGAACATGGTCTCTGGAGACAGAGCTGCTCTATTCTGAGAGATCACAATCACTCCACCCTGACAATGCAAATGGGCTTTTCAGTCTCACTCTCTGATTGGTTACATGATCTGGACTGGAACACAACAGTTTCACTTCTGCTGCACATTTAAAGAAGGTGTTTGTTAGGTTATTTATAAAACTTTAAAGTATTATAAAAAATAAAATAAAAAATCCATGATCACGGCTCAAGAATCAGCCGTTGTGACAGTTATTGTGTAAGAATGTAAAAGTTTCTGTGGCTGAAATGTAAAGCATCTCGTCCAGACAACAGAAGTGACTGAATGCAGTGTGTTCAGTTTGATTGACAGGGATCATATATTACACCTAAAACATGATGATCATATTGAAACACTGACTCATTCTCTTCATAAAAACAAGATTAATGTTGATTGTAATGATATAGTGTCATAAATCATTATTCAAACCTGGACTAAACACTGGCAGAGTCGAGAGGAAGATGATGCTGAAAGTCATGTTTGTTGGTTGATGAAGAAGAGCTCTTGATCATGTCATGTTCAGTTCATAGAGCTATAAACACATGCAGAGTGAAGCATGTGCTGATCATATAAAACACCCTCTAAATCAGGGGTGTCTAAACTTTTTTTAGTGAGGGCCAAATACAGAAAAACAAAACAAAGGGCCGGGGCACACACTAGAGGTGACGTATTGACACATGAATACTGTGTTTTTACGACCTGGCTTGTTACTCAAGGTCTCAACAAAAAAAGGAACACGAACAAACAGTTGAGGGTTTAAAATAAATAAAGAACCGTTTATTATTAAAGTAAAAAGTGTGTAGGTGGTATGAATTAAATACAATGTCAGTTGTGTGTGTTTGCAAAGAGGTTAATAACTGGAACGACAGGCCTGCAGGGGCACAGGGGGTCGCAACAGTGTGTGGCCTATCTCTAACTCACCTATAATGTGAAGAACATTGCACTCAGTGGGAGCAGTGATGCTGTCCTTTGGATTGAAGATGTCAGGAGAAAGTTTGGTGGTTGAGACACGAAGGACTTCACAGAGATGGCTATCAGCCATTATTCTGGTTCTCAGTCTGTTTTTGTTCTGATTTAACAGAGAAAATGTTTGTTCACATATGTATGTTGAGCCGAACAGGCTCATCATTCTTTCTGCGTGGCTTCTCTCATCGGAGGAAACTTGGCACTATCCAAACTCTGATAGAAGTCAGGGAGGGAGAGAAGCTGATGATGACTCTTCAGAGAATCATCACATTGCATTTCAATCAGTTCTAACTGCAGACTCTCTTCCACTTCTTCTGCATCCACCAGGAAGGGGGTCGAGAACAGCTTGATTTGTTTTTCAATGACAGAAAAATCTTGGAAACGCTGGTTGAATTCTGTCACGAGAGATGCAATCACAGACACATATTACTCCTTTTTAGCAGAAAGGTCGGCCTTTGGAAAAGCAGACTTGATTTCAGACAGCGCAGGGAAGTGTGCAGCATTAAAGCTTCGTAGTTGTGTCTCAAACAGGCAGAGCTTTACACAGAAGGCTTTCATGTGCGCATACAGGTGTGGCACCAGCTGTTCTTTGCCTTGTAGGTTCTTGTTCAGTGTATTCAGATGATGAGTTAGCCTAGAAATCTAGACGCACCCTAGCGGCAGCAAAATTTATTATCCAGCCAGTGTAGTCTAGCAACTCTCCGTTGGCTTTCGAGCTGGAAAAACCAAACTCTAGTCAGGCCAATCAGATCGTGTACAGTTGGTGGGCGGGCTTAACATAATGACGGCAGAGTTGTGACGGTTCCGCGTGATTTCACTGCTACTTGAAAACAAAGAAGAAGCTGCTGCTGCTGGCGAACATCGGTCTTTCAAATCGGCTTTGGCCGAGACTCTGGAGGACTTGGAGTTAAGAGAACGTCACTTAAGTCATTCTTACAAAAGTAAGATGTGTTCAGAGTTTTGACGACTGGATACCCTGGTGGGAAAACGCGTGGGACTCACTCATCCACAACCGTTCGTTGCTCTGGTTGGTTGTGGCGCTATCCTATTGCGTGCAGAGGGATTTTGAAAGACAACCGTTTATCCCGCCCCTCGGATTGAGGCATGCCAATGGCGAGTTCACAGACCTAACATCTTGATGTGGGTCTGGCTTGCCATGCTAATGATGAGTAAGATCAACTAAAAATGCCAGGTCGGCCAGCCACAGAGGGTCACTCAGTTCATGAAGAGGTCGGCCCTTCTCTTTCATAAACTGATGGATTTCTGATCTCAGCGTATTAAACCGCTGCAGCACATAACCGCGGCTCAGCCAGCGCACCTCAGAGTGGTAGAGTACATCCCCGTATTCAGCATCCACATCAGTGGTACAGTGGTGGTACATGGTACAGTCCTCTAGCTCGAATTATGTTGACAGTTTTTACAACAGTGTTCATTACATCCAGGCACGTGCACAGGTAGGGCTCAACCCCGCGCAGAGCACATGCCCTTCTTGCTGAAGTGCCCTTTTTTTGGTGGTGGTGTTTTTTTTTTTTTTTTTTTTTTTTTATAAATTAATGCTATTGGTCACCCTTTAAGTCTATCTGTCTGTTTTAAAAATATGTAGCCAATGAAAGATCTTAAAAAGAGCTTGTGTAAATCTTGTTCGATCCTCAAACTGTCAGTAAAGCTGATAACTCCGCCCCCTATATCTTGACTGAATGAACTGAAGCTCCGCAGCGGCCGCACAGCAGACAGCAGCTGAACGAAGTTTTGCAAGGGTAAACTAAGATCTTGTTGTTTGAATAAGTACTAAACACGTTGTCTATAAAAGCTCATATTTTATGTATTTGATGTCTGACCAAGATATGTGGGACCTGAGAGAGAGTGCTATGCTAGCATTTGCCATAGTCATAGCCAATACATAGCCTACACTTAAACAGCCTGTGCATACAGTAGCATTTCATTTTTTATAAAATGCAATTTTGACCAAATGTATTTTACAACAGGAAAAACTGAGCGCCTATAACAAACAAGTTGGTAAGCTGTTGATAAAAATGTAATGATGCCGCCGGCACCGTTTCCATAGGAAAATCATAAGCACAGGTGCTGTTCGTACTGGAACTACACAAAGCACGAGTGATCCTCGTCACCTACCTAACATACAATACAATACAATTTTATTTGTAAAGCACATTTAAACCAACCGAGGTTCGCCAAAGTGCTGAACACTGACATAGTTTCAGACAAATTATAAACACATGACAAGAGCACAAGACACAGTTAAACAAGTGACAAGACAAAACAAAAAGCAGAAAATTAACTCTAAGGCTGGTTTAAAAGCCAATGAATAAAAGTGAGTTTTAAGTCGTGATTTAAAAGTGTCAAGGCTGGGAGCTACCCTGACACACATAGGCAAATCATTCCAAAGCCTAGGGGCCACGACTGAAAATGCTCGATCTCCCCTATTTTTAAGTCTTGTTCTAGGAACAGATAAGAGTAGTTGGTCAGCAGACCTTAATGACCTCAGAGGAACATGCATCATCTGTAGGTCATCTATGTAAACTGGACCTTGCCCATGAAGAGATTTAAAAACAAACAATAAAATCTTAAACTGTATTCTAAAACAAACTGGTAGCCAATGAAGAGAGGCAAGAACAGGCATAATGTGCTCCCGTTTACGGGTTCCTGTAAGGAGTCGAGCGGCAGCATTCTGAACTATTTGCAATCTAGAGAGAGAGGCCTGGTTAACTCCTATATATAAAGCATTACAATAATCCAGGCGGGTGGTGATAAAAGCATGTATAACCCTCTCCAAATCTTTGAAAGATAAAAATGGCTTCAATTTGGTGAGTAGCCTAAGTTGAAAAAAACTAACATATATTTCTAAGAAATTTGTTCTTTGATTGATGATTGCTGATACACTTAATTTATTAACATTTAATCATGTTATGGTAATAATATTAAATTATGGTTAATTCGAGGCTGTTAATATGCACGTATTCGCTATCTAATTTTTGAATCTATAGTATTCTATACCCTCCGGTCGTCCTCACATGTATAAATGTAGTTAAACATGGTTTTACTACAGTAATGATGTAGTAGTAACTAAAAAAAAAAACATTACAGAAGATCACTGTGAAATCTTTATATTTTATCATGCAGAATGTAATTCATAATTTAATTCATTCCAAGGCTTAATTTATTTGATCCAAAATAAGCAAAAACAGTAATATTGTGAATTTTTTTTTTTACAATTTAAAATAACTGTTTTGTATTTGAATATATTTTAAAATGTAATTTATTTCTGTGGTCAAAGCTGAATTTTCAGCATCTTTACTCCAGGTCAGTACTCTTCAGTGTCACATGATCCTTCAGAAATGCTTTTCACTGCAATAGTGCTTTTCACACTATTTTATCCTTGTTTTCATTGCTGGCTTATTTTATGGGAAGTGTAGTGAATAAGAGACCTTCAAGAGACCAGCATTGGTCAGGGTTTTGCCATCAACTGCAACTGTGGACTGGAGAGATCCTTTTAAAAAATGAGGTTAATTAAGAACCAACTCCGAAGCCTTTGCTCAGAGGAGAGACTCTCAGACCTTCTCCTCATAGCCATAGAGAGGGACAGCCCAGTGGATCACAGTGAAGTCATAAACATCTTCAAGCATGGCTCACAGAAGGTTGCTGTTGTAATTAGGGTTAAAGAAGCCCTAAAACCCTGTATGTCTATATTATCTATATTATTATTATTATGGTTGTTATTAATAGTGAAAAAAATCTACAGCTTTTGAGACTATTATTATTTTTATTGAATTTGTCATGAAGATGTGACCATTTCCTCCTTTTATGTAGGCTTACTAAATAATCTTGATATAAAAAAGGGAGGGGGGTGCCCTTTTTCAGTTTCAGCACATGCCCCTC